AATTGTAAGAGAATCCTCAAAATAGAAAATTTAAGAGCAAAGGTATTAGCTTAAGATGAGCCACACTGTTCTAAATGAACTTATGTTCATCAATTCATTTAAAACTCACAACAGCCCTATGAAGTAGGGACCACTGTTAGCCTCCCATTTTATAACTAAGATAATAGTGAGGCTTTTCCAGTAGGAAGAAGAGATGTGGGGGACGGGAGAGGAGCAGGAGTCTCTCCATCCAGGAGAGCGCTGTTCTGCTGTCTCCCTGAGGAGGCGCCCTTCACTCTGAACTGGCTGTGAATGTGATAGACTCTGAATCACTAAGCAACTCTGTTTCTAGAGCTCTGAGCACTTTTTTTCTGGTCTAGGAGTAATTATTTATTTTTTTAAAGACTTTATTTGACAGAGAGAGACACAGCGAGAGAGGGAACACAAGCAGGGGGAGTGGGAGAGGGAGAAGCAGGCCTCCCGTGGAGCAGGGAGCCCGATGAGGGACTCGATCCCATGACGCCGGGATCATGACCTGAGCCACCCAGGCACCCCTAGCAGTAATTATTTATTAAGAGCAAAGTCTATCAGCCCAATGACTCTCTCGCCAGTTTCCAATCTGCTTGTTGGCAGAAATCTCCATCATCCCTGTTAAATAGACCTCATCTTCTCGGAGCCAGCCCTTACCAGAGCACTAGTACCAGGCATTGCACAAGTTTGGGAAACCTTCGCCCTCGTCATCCATTTTACAGGTGGGTGGGTGGGTGGGTGTGTGTGTGTGTGTGTGTGTGTGGACAGGCTGCTGGCCGGTGGGCAGACTCTCCAAAATTAATGTTTGAGCAAGGATTTCTGGCATGGTGGACCCAGCACGCGAACCCAGGTGCTGAATGGTGGAAAGGGGAGAGTTATCTAAAAGTAGGGAAACCTCGCAGTGGCACCGGTGACACCGATCCTCGTCAGGGCTCTGACTGCGAGGAAGAGTTAGCTGTTTCTTCTGATTAAAAGAGGAAGCAATACTTTGCCTACGACATCAAACACCCTGGTTCGAAATTGGCGGTTAGGAATCCTGTGCGGCTTTCAAATGCGAGGGGTTGTACCGGAGGGGCAGGAAACAGGAGAGCAAAGTCGCTTCAACCGAGCGAACTCGCTCTGAGAGCGCGAGCGTCTCCGTTGGGGGCGGGGGGAGCGCAGCGCCGGGAGGAGGGCGGAGGGAGGGGGGAGCGGCGGCTGCGGAGGGGCTCAGGGCTCCCTCCCTGCCCCGGCTTCGTCAGACACCCCGCGCCAGCCCCCCGGGCGAGCCGCGGAACCGCGACAGCAGAGGCCCCGCGTGGGGCGACTTCAGGGGGTGTCACGTTCACAGCGAGTTCAGAGCGAAGGGCGCCTCCTTGGGAAGACAGCAGAACGGCGCTCTCCTGGATGGAAAGACTCCTGCAGGAGGAGTCGAGGGGCAGAGTCGGGGGGTGGCTTCCGCCGGCCCCGGAGGAGGAGAGAGGAGGGGCGGGCTGGTCACGAGAGGCTGGGGCGGGCCACTGGCGCCCGACCTCGGCGGAGGGAGGGAGGGAGCCAGGGGGCAAGCGCTGGGGAGCAGCATGGAGCCCTCCGCAGACAGGCTGGCCACCGCAGCCGCCCAGGGCCGGGCCGACGAGGTGCGGGCGCTGCTCGCGGCTGGGGTGCCGCCCAACGCGCGGAACCGCCAAGGTCGGAGCCCGATTCAGGTGGGTGAGCCGGCCTGCCGCGGGAGGAGGGGGTGGCGGGCGACTTTGGAGCACAAGCTTTGTAAGGGAGTCGGAACCAGGCCAGCGTTTCGATTCTCGGTAAAAGGGAGACTTCTTGGCGAGTTCTCAGGTGGAGTTTGGAACCGAGACCTCCCCGTGTCCACGTCCTGGGGGCTTAGGAAGCCACGAGGAATGAGGAGGCACGTGGGGTGCAGATCCTTAGAGTGGTGTGGAGATGGGGGGGGGTGAACCTATTCGTGTTCATACAGTTCGAGGTATGTTCTTTATCTGATACACGGTTGCGAAAGTTTGCGGTAAAAAGCAAGATTTTAAAGAAATGGAAGGTTTGTTGGGTCCACTAGCCCGGAACTCAGATCCCCGAAGGGAGCTGATCATCTTCTCTTCTTGGGGGGGGGGGGCGGAGGGGGATTGCAGTGGAAACCTTCTGCTGTGTAAATTGAATAAATATCAGTTGAAATTATTCAGAAGCAACTATATATTGTGTTTATTTTTACTTTAACCAAGTAAAGAAAATATATGCTTGTTCTAAGAATTTAGGTAATACAGACATATGAAGAAAAACTTTAGTGTGATCTTGCCTGAAATAATGTCGTCAATTTAGTCACCATTTTGAAGGTATCTCTTATAATTTTTGTTATTTTTAACTTGCTTGCTATAGCTTAACTTATTTGGGACAGAGTTTTCAATTCCTCACTCTTCAAAAATGTCGTTTCTCCCCTCCTCACTCCAGTTGTGTGTAGGGGTGGGGGTGGGGGGGTGGTTCAGCATTTGTGGTTGTTGTTTGCCTTCACTAACTTCCTAAATCCAGGCTAAAAAAAACGATTTCTTCCTGGCAGTCACCACCCTAGTTTTATTCCCAATGTCCACAGTGATTTCTGATTCTGAAAAATAAAATCTATGTGAAACAAAAGCCTACTGCACAAATTCCAGCATAACAAGACAAAGGAAAGTAATTGTACCTGCCATTTCACAGATTTCACAAGTCAGTCTTCCTTTCCTGAAACTATGCTACATAGGATAAATTTTATACACTTTAAAATACAGATATAAAAATAAAACCAAAATGCCTTAAAACTTTAGATTATTTGGGATTTGAAGTGCGAAGAGATTTTGAGAGGAGAGAGGCTGTGTGATGGTAGAAGAAAAGCATGAGTCCTTTAAAAAGAATGCATGCATGATTCCTAATTTCTCTAAAATTTTGCTCGGAGACTGTGAGTTTGACCTTGAAGTTCTGGAATATGTTAGAAGAGGCTTTATTTGTTTAAATACAAAAAGAAAAAAGAAAGTTGGATAATTAGATTTAACAATTTTTTTTTAATAGGGAAGATAAGAACATAGAGAAAGGGGGGCATGATTTTGGTTTAGAATCCTAACCAAACTTGTGTTTAATATAAAACTAGTTTATAGAAAATTTTAATTAAAGATAATGTCTTATCGAATGGGTTTAAGCACTCTACAAATATTCATTTAATTGATTTTTTCTTTTTCCTTTGGATTGCTATTTAGATTTAAATATTTAAATGTTAGGTTTCCTTCCATACTTTAATACTGCAAAATGTAATGAAAACCTTTAAAATCAGTTAAATGATGAAGTACTTCACTGGATAAACACAATGTTTCATCTATTATATTTTCACCTGTATTATATATGTGTGTGTGTGTGTGTGTGTGTGTGTGTGGAAGGTGACTTCTTCTAAGAACAGGTTTTAGACATGTGTTTTCTAGCTCTGGCACTTGCAGTAGAGCTCCCAAAAGATTATGGTATCCTTGGGTGTGGCCCCTTTGTTCTAGAAATTGACACCATAATCTGTTAGAAGTCTTGCATAATTAAGTAAAGGTGTGAGAGCTTTCCCAGTTTTTCTTTTAAAACAGTGAATTGTTCTAATCCACTGAAATAGTTTTTATTTTTGTAGCTGTAATTTGGTTCACTGATATTGTCTCTCTCTTTTTGAAAATTAAATCAGTTTCACTTTCTCCAGACAAGAATCATCCACTATAGTATAACTTACTATGTTTCCTTGGTTTTGAGAAATTAAAAAATTCATCTTCAATACAGAATGAAATGAAAAATAAGGAATTTCTCTTTATACAGTCACTATTGTCTAGCTAATATAATCACACAATGGTTACCCTAAAAAAGAATTGTCTGTCTTCACTATCCACCACGCAACACTCAAATTTTAAGGTTGCTGTAATTGTGGATACTATTTAAAGATTCCTCTTTGGTAATGACTTTGTTTCAAAGATGATTTATGAACCAAATGAGGGGAGCACCTCCTGTTTAATGAACTCTTAGAGTGTAAACTTGAGAAGTTTCTTAGTTTCCTATCTCTGCTGTAACAAATTACCATAACTTTCGTGTCTCAAACCAACTTAAATTTATTATCTTGTAGTTCTGGAGGTCAACAGTCTAAAATGGGTCCACAGGGCTGCATTTCTTTTGGAAGTTTTAGAGGAGAATCTGTTTCTCTGTCTTTTCCAACTTCTAATGGCCATCAGCATTCCTTGGCTCATGGCCCCTGCATCTTCTCTCTGACCTCCATTCTTAGATCCTTCCTCTGTAACCTTCTTATAAGGAAACCTGTGATTACATTGGACTCCTCCTGACAATTCCCGTTAATCTTCCTCAAAATACTTAATTTAATCACATCTGCCAAATCTCTTCTCCCATGTAAGATATTATATTCACAGGTTTTGAGTGTGAGGTAGTAGACATCTTTGGGAGCATTATTTAGCTTACCACAAGAAGGAATTGTGGGGCTGGTTAGACAAAGCTCATTTTATACTTAAAGAAAGTGAATTTTAAAATTCTGGGAGGCTAAGTGTAGAATAAAAGTTTTACAAAAATTAAAGGTTTGCTGTTTTCATTTTCACTTTTTAACAATTACCTCGTCCTGGGCTTGGATATACAGAAGAAAACCATACAAAATCTCTGGGCCTTACATAATTTTGCATCAAAATGAGGGGGGAAATACAGGAGGTTAGGCTGTAGTTCAAGCCATTTTGTCCCTCACCCTTTTGCTATTGTCTGTGCCTCTGGCAGTGTTCTGTGTGTGGCTGGAACTCAGCAAAAGTTTGGAGAATATAATGGAATTCAGTGTGTACAGAAAAATGAAATGAGTAGGAGAACTGGCTAAGGGAGTTGGTAACTGAAAACAAATAGAGAGTAACTAGACACCTGTGGCTTGCACCGGCATCTGCACGGGGTGGGGGCTTCACAAATAGTTTCTTTAGTCTTGCCCCTGCCACCCGTCCCTGCCCTGACCACTCTGCTCTCTCCGGCAGGTCATGATGATGGGCAGCACCCGCGTGGCCGAGCTGCTGCTGTGCCACGGCGCGGAGCCCAACTGCGCCGACCCTACCACCCTCACCCGACCTGTGCACGACGCGGCCCGGGACGGTTTCCTGGACACGCTCGTGGTGCTGCACCGAGCCGGCGCGCGGCTGGACGTGCGCGATGCCTGGGGCCGCCTGCCCGTGGACCTGGCTGAGGAGCGGGGCCACGGCGCTGTCGCCGGGTACCTGCGCGCAGCCGCGGGGGGCACCGAAGGTGGTAGCCACGCCCTTACGGAAGTTGCGGAAGGTCCCGGCAGGTGAGGGGGCAGATTTAAGAGTTGAAACTCAAGAGAGCTTCTGCAGCCCAGTGCACTCCTTTTTTTCAGAAGAGAACGCTGGCTCCAGGGGAGCAGGGTCTTGGGTCTTGCCTCAGCTCTCGCACTGCCACCCTGTAGGACAACCCCACTGTCCCAGTCGCACTGCCTCGCTCGGGCTGCGGACAGGAAATAGCCTAGATGGATTTCCACACATTAAAGCCCATCCCACAAACCGTACCCTATTCCCGCAAACACTCACCCTCCCCAGAGCTCAAGCCCTAGACTGTGGAACAGCGACGACTCCGGAGGCTAGAGGTCTAGTGGCCCCTCTTCCTCCAAACTAGCTGGCAGCAGCATCCATTCAGCTACCCTCAGTTTGCGCATTAGCATACATAGGGAGCTGGACCAACCCTGCTATTTCCAAAAGCATTTGAACGTGGCATCGTCTGGAAGAAATCTGTCACCCCCAACTCTACTGCAAATTTTGACAAAATTCGACCCTCCGCTCTATGCGGTGTTGTTTTCCAGAGCTGCCAAAGGGAGAGAGATCTCTCCAACGCTGGCAGTCTACACCAGGGATTTGCTACACTCTCTGAGAAACAGAGACCCTCTCTTAAGCTTTTTCTTCTCTGCGAGAGAGATCACTGAGAGAGGGAAGATGGCCATGTGATCCTCCTTGCCTTCTCCTTCTACAACCACAAAGCCTTCTTCTCTTGCGGTCCCCTTTCTCCACTTCCACTCCTGCCTGCCTGAAGTACCAACTTTACTGATTTTTTCTGAAGGGAGAACCATATATATATATATATGAAATTAACGCGAATATTTCAGGTAAACCATAACTTAGAAGATACTAAGATCTATCCCATTTTGGCTCAGAACTGGGGCACTAGATCCTCTAGGATTTAATGGGGCCTGAGAGGACAGAGGGGAGAGGCTTGCTCTGAGCCCTAGACCAGAGATGCAGCGAGTTTTGAGCCTTCGGCGTGGGAAGTTCGAAGATCTCCTTTAGCCTGCCCACCCTCTCTCTCCACCAACTGAAGTTCGCATCCGGACACAGCGCAGGGCGAAGGACCAATCATAGGGCCGGTTGCGCGGCGCAAGAACCGGGAGGAGCTGAAGAGAAGGATTAGGTGACTGAGTCCAGCAACCAGCAAATAAATAGAGTAACCCTTTATAAGCAAAACTACGAGATTTGACCCACGCACACAAGTCCGTCCACTCCTTTCTTCCTCCCCTCCATCCCTCCCTCCTTCTTTCCCTTTATCCTCCTACATAATCAGCTCCATTTTAGATGGGACTTAAAGTGAATGAGACAAAACGGGAGTTCTGCCCTCATAGAGCTTACATTCTGGGAAACAGACTTTAAGCAATAAACAACGTATTTTCAGACAGTTTGTGAAACCAATGTGAAGGATAAGAGTGAAGTCTGAATGGGAAGGGGGTTTTAGGGTGGTCAGAGAGCCTGACTGATGAAAAGAGATTAGCTACTGGAGGCAGAAGCACTCTGTACACTTCGTACAAGTGCAAAGACTGTGGCGGTGAAGGACAGAAAGGCCGGCTGGAGCGCGCACACGGCGAGATCACTCGAGAGGACGGTCAAAGAAAGGATGCTAGGTCGAAACGTGGATTTTGTTCGAGAAACTTTAGAAAGCCATTAGCGGGTTTGGGAGAGGGAGCCTGGGGAAAAAGACGACAGGACTGGAACCGAATGTCCCCCTATACTGCCCAGCCGCTCTGGCGCCTCAGGTGCCCTCAGCTTACGCGTGTCGCCAAGTGGCTTTGCGTCAGGTGCAAGAGACCCCTACAGATACGCGAAGAGCCTGGCGCTGTGTGTGGCATGCCCTCAGCACGCATTATATACCCGGGCTTTCCTGTCGCAAGCCCGCCGGCGGCATGGCCGCGCCCTCCCTGCCCTCGCCTGGCGGGCCTGGAGCTCGGCGAGCCCGAGCAGCCAGCCGCGTAGTGCAGGCGGTATCTGCGGGGCTGGGGAGTCGGGCTGCTGACAGGGTCCAGCCTTGACGGACAGACCCTGTGCTGAGGGGTGGGGATATTGATAAGGGGCCAGCGAAGCCGTCTGAGAACCTTGCTCATACGTGTCTGAATACCGGGTGGGAGACTATGAGGGGCAGGAGGGATGGGTCGCACACCCTTCATTTCTAGTTTCTAATGTGTTTTTTCTTTCTGCCCTCTGCAGACAGCCCGGACTTAAAGAATGATTGAGATCTAAAGACACCTCAAAATGGTTTGATCTTCAATCAACAAGTAAATTACCCCACCCCACCCAACTTGCCTGCCTTCTTAGTTGCCATTTATCAAATAGCGCTTTTTAACACTGTAGACTGCTTCTCCTTCCCCTAGATTTCCATTTGTATTTTCATTTATACATTGTTATAAAAGGTAAAAAAAACAAAAAAAACACTGTTTCTGCCTTTTTATTATTGGGTTGGAGTTTTCTGGAACTTTAGGCCTATGTGGGCACTTCCTCTTTCCAGCCTCGCACGCCCCAGGGTGCTGTTGTTGTTACAGACATTTAATGAACTAAGGATATGAAACTTAAATGGGTTACATGGCCTTTCCTGTGTCATACGGCCATCAAGCGGTAGTGCCAGGGTTCACTTTAAAAAAAAAGTGTTTTTTTGTTTACTCATTTGTTCAGTCAACATTTATTGAGCACCTATTATGGCACCTTGCCAGGGGGAGGGAGGAGAAAGACATCAACTAACGAACACACAAACATATGACTAGAAATTTTAACACCAATTTCATTGACTAGAAGGTAGTATTTTTTCCAAAAGATAAATGCATGCCACAATAAGAGTACACAGCATGGATTGTAAGACTTCTGGATTTCGGATGATAAAATGTCAAGACCTGGGTCTTCAGATGGATGAAATGGGGTAAAAAAGTGGTGAAGAGAAACTCCATGGAGACCTCAGATTGACAGACTCACGCTTGGCCTTCCATTACGTATCTGGCAGCAGGAGCTGAGCCTCTCAAGGTTTAGGATATTTTGCTCTAACCTTCGCAGCAAGCATGTGACAGAGCCAGCAGAGCGTGGTCCACAACCACAGAGCCGGCCTGGGGGGTCCTGACAGAGCTGCCCCCCAACTACGCCCCACCCAGCTTTCTGAAACTCCCCCACAGTGGCTCCAGAGGGCTGTGAAGTAGCTACTGACCACCACCTGAACCAAAAGCAGCTCCAGCTTCTCTACCACAGCAGGGGGAGGCTCTAACTTCAGCTGACACACACAGGCCATGCTGCCTCCTCTGCAGTATGGGTACCATACCTTCATGACTTTTTTTTTGAGGTGCAATTCATACTACATAAAGTTAACAATTTTGAACTGTACAATTTGTTGGCATTTAATAAACTCACAATGTTGTGCAGCCATCACCATTTATTTAGTTCCAAAACATTTCGATCACCTCCAAAGGAGACCCTACACCTATTAAGCCTACCCATTAAATCCTCCCTGTCCCCAGGCCCTGGCCACCACTAATCTTCTTTTGTCTCTATGGATTTACCTATTCTGGACATTTCATGTAAGTGGAAGCATACAATATGTTGCCTTTTGTGTCTGGCTTCTTTCATTTAGCTTAATGTGTTTGCTGTTCATCCATGTTGTAGCATGTACCAGGACTTCATTCCTTTTTATGGCTGAGTAGTATTCCATTACTTACTCCATCTCATAATGAATATTTGGGTTGTTTCCACCTTTTAGGTATTGTGACCAGGGCTATATTCGTATACAAGCATTTGTTTGAATACTTTTCAATTCTTTGGGGTATATACCTAGGAGTGGAATGGCTGGGTCATGTAATAGTACTCTGCTTAACTTTTTGAGGAACTGTCAAACTGTTTTCCACAGTAGCTGCCCTATTAAATATTCCCACAACAATATACAAGAGTGGAATAGCTGGGGCCTATTATAGTACTCTGCTTAATTTTTTGAGGAACTGTCAAACTGTTTTCCACAGTAGCTGCACCAATAAATATTCCCACAACAATATACAAGGGTTCCAATATCTCCACATCCTCAATAACACTTGTTATTTTCTGGGTGTTTTTTTTTTTTTTTTTTTTTAAAGCTATCCTAGTGGGTATAAAGTAGTATCTAATTGTGGGTTTGATTTGCATTTTCTTAATGACTACAGATGTTGAACATCTTTTCGTGTGTTTATTGGTCATTCACGTATTTTCTTAGGAGAAATGTCTATTCAAGTCCTTTGCCCGTTCTTAAATTGAGTTGTTTTTCTTTTTGTTGTTAAGTTGTAAGAGTTCTTTGTCTATTATGGATATTAGACCTTTATCAAACATATGATTTATAAATATTTTCTCTCATTCTATGTGCTGTCATTTCACTTTCTTGATGGTGTCCTTTGATGCACAAAAGACTTTAATTTTGATTGAGTTTGTTTTTCCCTATTGTATAAGGTAGGACTCTAACTTCATTCTTTTTCATGTGGATATCCAATTGTCCTAGCACCATTTGTTAAAGAGGCTATTCTTTGCCAATGAATGATCTAGGATCCTTGTCAAAAATCAATTGACTATAGAGGTACTGGTTTATTTCTAGACTCTCAGTTCTATTCCATGAAATATATGTCTGTCTTTACATCAGTTCTACACTATTTGCTTACTGTAGCTTTGTAGTATGTTTTGGAAAATGAGAACTGTGAGTACTCCAACTTTGTTCTTTTCCAAAATTATTTTAATCTGTTTTAAGCTTTTATCTGGGGTCGCTTGCAGTTCCATATGCATTTATGGATTAGCTTTCCCATTTCTACCAAAAAAAAAAAAAAAGGCCACTGGGATTTTCATGGGGACTGCATTGTATATGTAGATCATTTTGGGTCCTACTGCCACCTTGACAATATTAAGTCTTCCAATTCATGAACACAGGATGTCTTTCCATTCATTTAGTCTTTAATTCCAGCAATGTTTCATATTTTCAGTGCACAAGTATTGCATGTATTTGGTTAAATTTATTCCTATTTTATTCTGTTTGATGCTACTGAAAACTGAATTGTTTTCTTATTTTTTTTTTTTTGGACTGTTCATTGTTAATGTATAGAAATACAACTGATTTTGAAGTGTTGATCTTTTATCCTGCAGCTTCACTAAAATTGTTTATTAACCCTGATTGTTTTTTAGTGGATTCTTTAGGATTTTCTACATATAAGATCATGATATCTGCAGAGAAGGATAGTTTTATTATTTCTTTCTAATATGGATGTCTCATTTCTTTTTTTCTTGCCTAATTTCTCAGGTTAAAACTTTCAGGACAATGTTGCTTGTAAAACTTTGAATAGAAGAAACAAAAGCAGGCATTCTTTTCTTGTGCCTGATATTAGCAGGAAATCTCTATCTTTCACCACCGATTATGATGTTAGCCTATGGTTTTTTCAAAAGTACCCTTAATCAGATTGAAGAAGTTCTGTTCATTCCTACTTTGATTTTTTTTTTTTTTTTACCATGAAAGAGTGTTGGATTTTCTCAAATTCTTTTTCTGCATTGACATGATGGTATGTTTTTTCCTTCATTCTATTGATATATTACATTGATTGACTTTTATATGTCAAACCCCTTGCATTCCTGAGATAAATTTCACTTGATAATGGTGTGTAATTATTTTAACATTCTGTTGGGTTTGGTTTGCAAAGACTTTGTTGAGGATTTTTTTTTTTTTTCATCTATATTCACAAGGGTATTGGTCTGTAGTTTTCTTTTCTTATAATGTCTTTGCCCGGTTTTTTATCAGGGTAATGTTGGCCCCATCAAATGAGTTAGGAAGTGTTCAATATTCTATTTCTTAGGAGAGCTAGAGAAGGACTGGTGTTAATTTTCTTTAAACATTTGATACAAGTCACTAGTGAAGCCATCTGGTCCTGGACTTTTCTTTGTCAGGAGGTTTTTGACGACTGGTTTAATCTGTACTTGTTATAAGTCTGTTCACATTTCCTTTTTTTTTTTTTCCTTGAGCCAGTTTTGCTAGTTTGTATGTTTCTAAGGAATTTGTCTATTTTATTTAGGTTTGTTAGCATACATTGTTCATAGTTTTCTCTTACGATCCCTTTTATTCCTTTAAGGTTGCCAGTGATGTCCCCCTTATGCTGTGTTTAAGTCATCTTTTTCTTGATCAAGAGTTCACTTGGTTGCTGTAAACCTGTGACCACTTTCCAGAGTTCCCACAAAGTCAATTCTGACGCTAATCTTTTTGGTGTTTCTGTTTAGGGATGGGCTCGTGGAGCTTCCAACCCTGCTATTGGCACTGATGTCACTTCTGTTTTTTGTTTTCTATTAGAGTATAATGGCCAACTGCCTCTGATGCACCAAGTTCCTTCCCCCGTACATCCCGCCTGACTGGGATTCAGTGCCCCACTACTGGCCTTCCCACCATCTGGGTATCTGTCCCCCACCATTTCTCTGAATATCTCTAGCTCTGATACCAAGCTATGTCCCCTCAAATGTTTTCCACCTTCCCTCCTCCTCCTCCCGCTCCTCCGGTTTGTAGGAGCTCGCTCTTCTTTGCTCAACTCTCCTGAGCGCGCGCGCACCACCCCCGCTCCCGGAGTCACTCTCCTACCCTTGGCCAGCAGGCTCCGCTGTGGCGTGGGCGCCTCCGGAACCGCACTGGCGCCGACTCGGAAGCCCCGGGGCCTCAGGCCAGGCGGCGCTTCCCTCCGAGGCCCGACGCTGCCCGAGCTCGCGGAGGCTCCACGTGCGCGTCTCCCCGCACGCCGAGCGCGCGCACGCCCGCGCGCCCACGCCCGCGCCTTCGCGGAGGGACCTGGGAGTGAAGCGCAGGCCGGGGCCCGGGTCGCGCGGGTGGACCTGGGTGGCACAGGTGCCCTGAGAAACGCGAGGTCGACTTTCCCTGGTTAAGAAAGGAAGCGAGGGAGAAAGGAGGGTGCGAGGAAGGGAGAAGGAGGGAGAGCGGGGCGCGGCTGCAGGATCGCAGCTCAGCGCTGAGACAGGGGCTTTCCCGTGGTAACCGACCAAATGTCCGAACCGACAAGCCGCGGGGTATGTAGGGCTGGGGGGGGTGGGCAGGTGGGAGGGAGTCAAGATAAAACATCGAAAAGGCGGTGATGGACTGCAGCGTTTTAACGCTTGGGTTGGAGCGCAGCCTGGCTCCGGCAAACTGAGAACCGGGAAACGGTCCTGGACGCGGCCACGCCTCTGGGACCTGAAGCGGCCGTGAGCGTCCCTGGGCCCCGCGCACCCCCAGGCGGCCGGGTGGGAAGGGCTGGCTCCCCAGCTCTTGCACCTCCTTTCAGGTCTCACAGACCTGGTTTAAGCAATAACACTCAACTAAATAAGCAAATAAACGTATTTTTAAATGACTGCATTATTATAAGCCACCTGTTTTCCTACTCAAGCTTTTCTTTTGAGTGAATTGTC